AACAAAAACAAACCAACCTAAGATAAGTATCACTTGCACTCAAAACAATTGAAAAAGCTTAGATTCAAATTGTACAGTTCAAGTTGTTTGAGTTGGATGAATCAAGTCAATTTAAGGAGTTAAATAAAGTGGCCAGAAATATGGGCTGTTGCTGGCATTCAAGGTCTCTGGATGTAGAATGCTTCATCAATCTAGTCTGACAAGCAACTGTATTTTTAGCTCTGTCCAATTCTCTGGTTTCCTGAGGTCATGGAGCTATGCCATGTGCACAGCTGATACACTCCATGCATACCTTAGGAACCTGGAGGGTGCAGAATCACCCCACAGCTGTGTTTGTAACAAAACAGCACAGAGAATTCAGGATCTAAAGAAAAAAAAAAGGCTCAGGCCCTTTTCTGCCCCCTCTAAGCCTCTCTCCAGGCCCCTGGCAGCGAACATGCCTGCTTTGCATGTCCAGAAGAGCAGGCCCAAAAGGCCATTCTCAGCCAGAGGCAAGAAGAGACTGCTGTCAGAATTGCTGTTGGACTTAAAGTGGTGTAGTAATCTTCATAGGTCAGTAGATTTTAACAGGGTGTATGTCCTTTTGAAAGGTCAGATATGTTTTAAATGTTTCATTACACCTTGTCTTGGGTTGTTGATGTGCTTTTTCTTTGACCTGCCCACAGCATTATGAGCATTTTCTGGTGGTGTCCAAGGTTTTAAAATGTATTCAGTGAACAAACTGTCACTGCTACAAGCTGCTACTTTCAGAAAAACTTTATTAACAAATCGGTTGAAACATTTTTAATCTATAAATTAGAATGAGACTGTACAGACAGAACAAAATTGAATACAAGAGCTTAGTTTAAAGAGTAGAAGAACAAGGTCAAAATGCAAGACAAATCACAAAAGGTAGATTATGGGCACAGCCCTGGTAAGGCTATACTAGGAAAGAATGCTGAGAATAGAATCATTGAAAGGATAAACAGCCCTGGGGTAAAATGATGCTAACCTGGTGGGCTTCAGTACCTGTGAACCAGATGAGCATGTGTGAGATGTCCACCCAGTTAGAACAGTCCCTGACTGCAAGCTGAACAGGACAAGGAAGTTTTCTTCCTTTTCATTCCTCCTGAAAGAACAAGTGTGCAGTAACTCTGTATTCTGTACTGTGCCTTTATATTTTTTTGTTGCGGTATCTCCATGGGGTATAACGTGTTTTGATCACATCAGAAGAGTGGCAAACACTAATCTCTGCCTTCCTGTGCCAGAGGAAGTGCTTGCACAGATAATCTATAACTCATAAAGCCATTGCTCCACATTGCAGTGGAGCAATGTTTGCTCATTTCCTTACATAATAATTACACATTGAAACCTTCAACAGCAGGGGGAAGACACCAAATACTGCTGAAGATGAAGGACGGAACAGAAGCAGTTACTACCACTGCTGGCATGCACAAAGCTGCTGGAGCAACTTTGAGATAAGCTTTAAAATCAGTATTACAAAAAAATTTCAATTTGGCTTTTATACTTTGTCTTTTCAACAGTTGTACTCAATTCTGCAGTTCCAGCTTTAACTGGTTTACCTTTTCTGCAAGTGCATTGCAGTCTCTGAACTTGAATATATGTTTAAACCTACCTGTCAGGAGACACATGAGGTGAATGCAGTCATTTCTCTACACATTTGGACAAATTCAGGGCTTAGAGTTATAATTAACCCATTTTCCTGTCACAGGAACATCAATATACTTCCACACCAGTCTTCATTCTAAAAGTATGACCACTGTTAGAGAATAGAACAGAACAGAGTAACAGCAATATAAGAAACAAATCCTTTATTAAGGAGATAAGTCTCAGAGATAATCAGGAGAACCTCCATAAACATCAATAGGTTGTTTAACACTTTCTGCAGTTCAATTCTTTAGTTTTTTGTGCTTTAGGAGAAATGAAAGTTTTCATGATAGATGCTTTCAGGAGCTTCCCAGCTTTTACACAGAGCTGGAAAACTCAGTAGTTTGGCAATTTACTGCCAAACTATTCTGGAATGGGAATCTCTTTGGGTTTCTTGCTCAGTATTCCAAAGGAACTGTTAAGCTGTCCATTTTTCTTGTAGAAGAAGAGCTAGAGAAAAGGTTTTTTTTCCCATGGATGTTTGTACTGACAATGTTCCCAAATGATGCCCACAGTAGCCCTTAAGAAGATATGTAACCATTTGCTGCTATTTAGATGTTTACATATCGTATCAAATAGTTCAAATTGGTGTTAACATTTAAAAATAAAGTATATGGTCTTGCTCACTCCATCTGTGTTGCACTTGGAAGTAAATCCTGGTATATTCAGAGTAAGGTGACTTGTCTGGCACATTCACAGCTTCACATAATAAATATGAAAGATTTGTGATATTAGAGCATAGTAATGAAAACAAGTGAGTGTTCAGTTAGGAAGCCATCTGTGCTCAAAATGTATATGCTTTGTACTTGTGTGTTGCTAAACAATGAAATTCCCTAGACAAGATTTTATAAGCAGCAGGCTATGAGGCATTATAATCCCTCCAATTTGTACCTGCTTTTCTTTAAGGAAGAGGCAAAATATATCTATTCAGGTTAACTTTTATTTATTCCATTCAGCCTGGCTGACATTTATTCTGTAACTAGAAAACAGAGCACAGATTCCCTCTTGACTGTTAGTTACTGTTCCTAATCATAGCTACTGGAGTAGCTGACATTAAAAACAGTTACTAGTATGTGTTTTACATTGATGCTTTTAAAAAATGAAAGAGTGGTAAGCCTATTGCTCTTATAACTACTGTGATAACTGGAATTCACAACTTAGAATTTAATAACAGTGGAGACAGAATAAAGTAGTATTTCTATACAGAAACATGTAGGTAGCTTTCACTTTGATTACAGAGGTTAACATTTCAAATCTCAGCTGTATTACAGGAAAATAAAATAGCAGACAGTCTGCCTACAGCTACCTCCTATGGAGTGTGCAGGAGAACATGAGATAGCAGCTTACTTCTGTTAAGGCAGTGACCTGCTCTGGAGGTGAGTTTTTAAAGAAGTTGCTGAGAGCTGTGCTTACAAACAGCAATTAAATGCTCTGCAAAAGCACCTGATTTTTTTCTATAAGGGCACACGAGGGGCGTGGGGGCAATTGCTGCAATTGTCTCAGTCCCCATCTGAGCCTGTACAATAACAGGGATGGTGCAAGGCCTGCTCCCTTTCTGGAGGAAGGCTGATGAGCTTAGAGAGGTTTGTATTGATGGGCACGTGTTTGCAGGTAAAGCCTTTCTCTGGCAAGAAACACTGGGGTTAAAGTTGCCCTGGGAAAAAGTTAGGTTAGGCATATACTGAGTTAAAACTTCTGCAATTGTTACCTCAGTTGTGGTTTGTTACTGTTTTGAGGCTTTCCTGCTGTAATATGTGTGAGGCTGAAGTGTTTTAAGAGGTTATTTCTGTAAGTGAAATACAGCTAAGGAAACTATTTTTCATATAGTTAGAGAGCTAATTAAAGAGCCTATTTTTCAGTAGCTAACTGTGATACAAAGGGCACTTCATATGTAGTACTTCAGAAGTCATTCAAAGTAAAAAGGAAATATATTGTTTGAAAATTGCTTATAATAAGGCTATTGCATATAAGCAACACTTAAATTATCTTCACATTCAATGGAAAAGGAGCACAGAAGGTGTTTGCAGGAGTTTTATCTCATACTGTCTACGTAAATCCTGCTTTGGAGGATATAATGCAGAAGTTGTTTTCATAGGCTTTTAAACCATAAGCTTGAGTTCCAAGAACTTTAATTTTGCATAAGTGTTTTCTTTCCCCCATTTTAATTAGCTCTCTGATAGTACTGAAGTTTGTTTCCTATACATATCAATTCAGTAAACACAAATCTGTGGTGTTATATTTTTATATAAAATATGAAAGAAAGCTTTGACTTAATGCATCTGTAATTCAGTTTTCTGTATTGCAGAACATATGTTGTTCTCTTTTTAATTAAACAAAGCATAATATGCAAAAGAACAGTCGGATGATACCAAAAGAATAACACATTATTAAAGTTCTATCAAAAATATTCACTGTAACTGTGGACCTTGAGGCTATAGGAAGAGGCAGTTGCTGAAAAGTGAATATAGTAAATTTAAAGCAGGAGAGAGAACGAGAACTGTTGCAATTCTCCCATATGCCTGCATTTTGAGCTAGAATTTAATGAGATGCTTTTTATGTGTAGTACTATGGCTAGGGGTTTTTATAACTTATTAAATGAATTAATTCATTAATGTAGCTAATGGAATAATTTGCTTTATGCAAATCCAGAACGGTCAAAGTAGTAGCAAGTTGTAAAAAACTGTTTCGCTGTGGAATTCTGCCAGCCCATTCTCTTGATTTTATTTGGCTAATAGTGTGGCTCTTGAGGAGCTGAGCATTTTGAAGCCCCATTCCCAGTTGCCTTTCTTCCCGTTGAGATCGATTCTTGACTGCCTGGAAGCCATGGGAATACTGTTTCACAGATCCTGGTTCCTGGCCTTTATGATAAGCTTGGAGTTTCCTTGATACTCAGATTTTGCTGAAGTCTGCCAAACAGAGCATTTCTGAGCCAAGGGCTTCGAGGCTTTTTGGCCTCAAGGAATTACCTAGTTTTGATGGTTCATTGCATTTTTTTGAATTTGCTTTGTTAAAGTATTATAGTTCTACATTAGTCCTTTTACCACATGCAACTACTGACCAACTTTGCATTCTTGCTGAGGCTGACTTAATATATTTATGTGTAGAGAGAAAAAGAGGCTACAGGGTTTTTCTTTCTGTTGGTACCACAAAGGATTCAGCAGCTGTGCCTCAGGTACCAAGACCATTTGGTCAGTTCAGGTTTGTTGGAGCAGTCCTAACCTAATTCCAGAAAAGATGACTAAAAATGTGGGGTGTTTTGTGGTTTTCTTAGGACAGGTTGTCATTTTGGCCATATGGCTACCTCCCATCACAGGTACAGAAGGGTGGATGCTACATATTGAATTGGACACACAAAGTCAAGTGCAGATGTTTTGGTTGGTTGCCATACCTGGTGCTCCTTTGCCTAATTCAGGTTTTCCTGGGCTGGAATTATGTAATTAAATATGTTGGTGAATGGCATCACAGAGTGCAAATGTCTGATGTGCCATGTCATCATATCCAGTCACCTTTTCCATTAACAGGTTGTGTCCCGTTGCTTTTTAGGTAGCATGCCTTTTGTGCATTTAAATACTCAGCTGTATTTAAATTACTCAGTTCAGTAATTTGGAGAAGGCAGTTCTGCCCTGGTGCATTGAATGTTTGCAGTTGTGTGGTTGGACTGACCATGTTGACCACTGGATCATTTCCTACTCACTTTTCCCCAGCCTCTGTGTTGAGTGTTCATTTATGATGCCTGTACCATAGCCTGCAATTCAGCCATTAAATGCTGGCACTATTTTATATACTGTCTTATCTTTTACTGCCAGAAGGGTTTCAATACTACAACAAAGATTAGAGAATTGTCACATAGAAAAGATTTTTTAAAAGGAAACTTTTTTTTTTGTTTCCCCTTTCTGATTCTCTGTTTTATTAAGAACCAAGCTACTATGTTTAATCTCTAATTGTATTTTTTCCCAAAAAACTGTTCCTTCTATTCTTGTTCAGTTGCCATCTCTGTGAAAGGTAAAGCTCTCATTTTAAAGGATTAAGATGTGTGATAAAACTCCAGAGAGAGAAGAATTTATTTGCTATATATACAATTAGTTTGTCTATGAAACGTCTTGCATTTGTAGAATTAAGCTGGTGAGAAATGTCTGGTTTTCTTTTCATCTTCCTACTGTTAATGCAAAATACTAGGCATGGAATATGTTTCAAGGCTCTACTTTTACTCTTGTTATTAATCCTTAACAAAATTATGTATTATCTGTAATTGTTGCAAACTTTTTGGTATAGCCTATGCAATGATTAGAAATGTGCGTGGCATCAGGTAATGTGCAAATTGTATCAGCAGAGTATTTTATCATCACTCCATTGTTTGCTAAGAGTATGTCTATGTGGATGGAGAGATATAATAGACAATAAATAGCAATATCTTCTTTCCAGTAATTCTGAATACAGAATGGGAGAAATATCACTAGTTCATATTATGGCATTTGGCACAGTAACAGTCAAACAAAAAATTCCTTTATTTATCCAAAGTAACACTTATTTTCTGACATTAATTGAATTGAAAATTGCCCTGATTATCTCAAAGTCCTCTGTTATCTGAACATACTCAATATCCTGTATTCCCCTTGGATAATTGAAGTTTGACTTTACACTATTTTTAATGAGGTATAAGATTTAACTCATTTGCCTATAGTTCACATTTTAGGATGGATCAAAGGAACCCAAATTGATGAATGTATAATTAAAATCACATTTATTTCTCTGTATGATTTCACTGCAAACACCATGCTGTTGATGAAAGCACTTTTATAAGTGGTTGTGCGCATCAAATGCATCAACAGAACTTGCTGTAGGTAATCCTCCCTTTCAAGGAAAACCTTTACACTTGTGTGTCTCAGTGCACAATATAGAATGGTGAACTAGCATGTTTGTACAGTGCAATGATGTTTTTTTATCCCTCTTTCCCCAGGATGGGCTGATCCTGGAGAACATGCACCACGTGCTGTACACAGTGCACCCAGGCCCGGAGGTCACCGCAGCCATGGCAGTTGTCTTGGTTTGAAAAGACAGGAGTCTGTGAAGGAAGGCAAAAACCTCCTGTGAAATGGGAAAGGTAAACCCCCTCCCTCTGAATTACCACAATTTCAAAATTAAAAGGCTCTCCGGCAAAGATATGCAAAGATATGGGAATGGGAATAACAGTTCTTTACTAGGAGAAAAACTAAATAAAAATTTAAAAAAAATGTAATTAGTACAAACAAAACTAGTGATAAGAGTCAGAAACCTGACACCCTGAGGAGTCAGGGTGTTGGTAATAGTCCAGTTAAATGGTGGCTGCTCCTCCTGGAGTGACAGATGAAATGCTGCTGAAGCAGTGATCTCTAGAAGGGTGGAGTTTTCTCTGAAGGTCTGGTGATGGAGTAGTTGGGCCTGGTCTTCCTCTGGGGATCCAGCAGAGAAGAAGCTGCTCCTCTGGGAATCCAGTGAAGGGCTGCTCTGGTGTCCCAAAAAGTGCTGATTTTATGCAGGTAGGAATGCTTGGCTCCTCCCTTTGGGTGGAGCATCTCACAATGGGATGATGTAACTTTACCGGTCATGCAGTGAGTCATTCAATAGTCCATTAACAGAAGATATCTCCCGGAGGGAGACATTGTTCTTGGAAGAGATAAGAAAATTGCCCAACCTCCAACAGATGGCAAATAGAATACATGCTGATCTTACAAGCCAGGAGAGCAGTGCTCGGTGAGATGGAGCTGTCCCTGTGTCCCTCTGGGTGGCCAGGTGCTGTGTGCTGCCAACCAGCAGGCACTAACCATTGCTCTGGCTGCAGGTAATGCAAAGGGCTCCTCAGGCATTGCTGTGGCTGTTCACTCTCCATAAACTGCACCTTGTGCTGGCATAGATACTGTGGAAAGCTGACTGTGCCCTGAAAAGGCAGAGTTAGGTTCTGAGAAAGAAAGATGCCTGCTTGATTAGAGTGGATGGTACTTGTGCACTGCCTCAGTTGGAGGCTGCTAAAGGCTGCACCACAGCTTCCTGGGTGAAACCTGTCTAAATGTAACCATTAGTTTAAACCTGCTCATGTCCAAAAACCACCTTTGGTGTAACTCTTATTTACTTCAGTTATATTATATGCAAGGATCAATTTAACCCATGGTGGTTATGCATCCTGTTTCAGCATATGTTGTTGCTGCTACTGTTGTCCATGAAAACTAAATTTTCGTTGTCTTTTTTAATGAATGAGTAGAATGAAGCTTTTTATATAATGACAAAAATTGAGGTATAGATAGCGAATGTACTTAAAATTAAATTGCCTTTGGGGGAATTAAATATAAATTAATCTATCCTTATTGCATGAATCCTAGACTTGGCTAAGCTTCCTGCTCTTACTGTATGCTGAAGCAATTTTAGTTTTTCATATCTAGCCCTCTCTGATGTAAAGATGAGGGCTGGCTTAATATGGAAAGCCTGTATTTCCTAAGTTCACAAATTGAGGGTTAATGCATGTTTTTTCCCAAATTATGTCATTATGGTAAGGCTGCACATTTTTGCATGTACAAATTTTATAGAACCAGGCAGAAGATGCTGGTGTTAAGTGAAAGCCGTACTTCAGGTACAATCATGTAGGCTAACCTATCTGCAGTGGCAGTTTTAATTATGCCTAATATGCTCTAAAAGCTTTAAATTCTCATTAATAGATGTGTTTTGAACTGACATTTGTTTTGTGAGCCTTAAAATCAGATGTTGCTATTTTCAAAGTACCTAGCCACTTGACAAATTGAGAAAATCTAATTTTTATTGCTGCATTGGAACGTATATGAAAACCTCAAATAAAAATGATAATGGAAACCAGTTTTGGTTTTTAGAGGTTGCTGTATGTGGGCCACTGGAGGTACATAGGTATTTGGAAAAATAGCACATAGCCTATTTTTAAAAGCAATCCTTTGAGGAACAAAAATCATCACTAAATAAGGGATATGATCTGGGAACAATGTATTTCTCCTCTTTGCAATTATTAATGAAGAGGAGAATTCCTGTAGGGCTTGGGTTTTTCTCTGCTCCTGTATACTGTTCTGCACTATTTCCTCTGTAGCTGTAGAACACCAACCAGGAAAGGCTTGTGTTTAATGCATTTCTTTGTACTTCTCTAAAAATTATTGGCTCAAGTTCACTGAACAGGGAAGCAAAAAGAAAATCACTTTAAGCAAAACCATGGTAAAGTGGATACTAATTTGTAGGTAGCAAATCTTTAAACAGTTTTTCTGTAGCAACTTAGTAGTGACTTTAATGTCAATATAATTTTGATAGGTAGCTATTAACAAAGCAAATCCTGTATGCTGTTGCTAAAAAATAACTTGCTGAAGGTGTTTCAGCTACAAACCATATGTAGCATCTTCTGCCTATTATACATTAATTTCATTTTCCCTGTGGAGATCCTTGTCTTTGGTAGGAATAACTGTTAAGAGAGCTACACAGGGAATTTATAACTGGTCTTTAGGAGAAGGTCATGATTTTATTTGGTAAAGGGTGGGGGAAATCCACAGGTCTGCAGTGTGACTAGGAGCTCAACTAGCCTGAGCAAGGATTGTAGGGTCCAGTGCTTGGGTGAGCCTGGGTCACTTATCATGGATCAGAGCTCAATTTTTAAGTTTATCTTATCTCATAAATTTTAAAAAAAATGGCAATGGTTCCATTGGAAAGGACAGTCATTTAGTCCAACCGCCCTCTACTTGCAGCTGCCCTTTTTCCTTTAAGAATCAAGTTACTGAAATTCCAGTTCTGGATCAGTCTTCATCAATGATGATGACACAGCTGATAGCTGATAAACAAGGCTTCATGTCAGGACATATCCCAGACTTCTCCATGTCTTCTGCAAACACAGCTTTGCTGTCTGAGCCCATTCCTTTCCTACACCAGCAGAGTGGGAATTCACTTGCTATCATCCATGACACTCTTCAGGGTAAGACAGAATTAGGCAGAGCTGTGTGCTATGGTTTTTGCTGTCCTTTTTAACTGCCACCATATTAATGCAGTGGTAAGGGGAGGCAGCTCAGCTGAGAATTGCAGCAGGGAGCACCCAGAGGTGCTGTGAAAGGCAGGGAGTGCTGTGGATCCTGCTGGGAGTGCTGCTGGAGACCTGCCCCTGTGCCTGCAGCTCATGCTGAGCACGGCAGGAGCTGCTGCAAGAGAGTGTCCTTAGAAGTATTTTTGCAGCACAGACACACTGTGCCTCCGGTGTCAGCAGCAGACAAAGTCAATGCTTCTCTAAGAGTTCTGTTTATTAGTTTTTATTGGATAGTCCCTATTCTTGTTTTCCAGTGAAACTACAAAATGTGTTGTTCCCATGTAAGTCAGAAATGGGGCTGCCTATTAACTATTCAATGACTATTACTTTTCAACTTGCCAAATGTGAAAGTAAGCAGTAGTATCATTCTCACAATTTTATGAGCATAAAAATGAATTCATTAGCAGAATCTGATTATGGCTTCATAAAACAGAAGGGTAATGATATGGTGCCTGCACCTATTACACTTGGTTAAAAAATGTATTTTCATGGCCTCCAAAAACCCAGATTGAGAGTGCAGCCTTGTTAAACTGAGTACAATCTAGTGTTTAGCAGAAAGTCTTATATTACTGCACTAAGGAAACACCAACCAAGCATCAACAGTGTATAAGCAGTGACTTCAGTAAATGAAATTACTTAGTGAATAGCTTGTGTCTGAAGTTAAACCTCAATTGCTGTGAAGGTTTCATGTCTCTAGGCTCATCCACAGTTTTATGATTAGAGAAATAATTATTCTTATATAACTCTGAATTGCACTGTAAGCTTGGGTGATGTAATTAGAATCTATAGCTTTTGTTCCTAGATGTAGAAATCTCAGTTTAGCTGTTTGCACTGTGTTTATCACCAGTGTCTACAAGCACCTGCAATGGTACTTGTGGCACACTCTTGTCTTTGGATCCTGGGAATACTCCATGCTTTACACTAATCTCAAGGCACAGGACAGCTTGCATTTGATTTGGCATCCATCTGTGATGTTTCTTGTGAGCTGGAGTCTGTGTTGCTAAGCAATACAGGCTCTTCTCTATCAGTGTAAGCTTCTGTTTCTGCAACTTCAGGGCTTTTGGAATGAAACTGGAATTTTAAAATAAACAGACACCTTGCCATTTGGTAAATAAATTTTCAAGATCATCTCTGTTTATAGTTGGAATGTGCTAAGGTAATGCCTCTGTTGCCTCATCAGTTGTGGGTAGGATTGCATTCTTGATGGCTGTTTCCACATGCATTGCTTTCCTTTGTATGATGTCAGCTCTAATTAAATGTGCATCTGACTCCAAAGCTGGAGCAGTAGCAGAGCTTCAGAAGGGCTTGGAAGGCACCTCCAAAGCAAACTGGAAAAGCAGCAAAACTGCACAAGATGAGTGCAGAGCTTTTACACAACAGGCAGGTTTTAAGTGACAGTTCAAGGCTATGAAAGACAGGAGAGAAGTGGGGATTTCAGTAAGGGAGTCAGAATTAAATCTTGTGCCCCACTGCTGTGGCCCAAGGCTTCAGTCTTACAACAGAGATACTTCAAGGCTGTGGAGGGGGGCCCTGGATGTCGGTGACTGGCCCACATGAAGTAATTACAATTCATAATTTTCCTCTTCAGTATCTATCCCTCAAAAAGTTCCTAGTGACAAAACTTAATGAATATGGTGGAACCTCTGTTACTAAGGCATGGCAGAATTGATGGTTGGAGTAGAATGGCTTTGACTCCTCCTAGGCCTTTGCACAGCTCTAGCGGCAATTTGTTGATGTGGTGCTGTGTAGGAAACACATGCTATGTTCAGATGGAGTCACATGGGTTGCATGTAACATGTTCCAGGCTGTGCTTTCTTGCCTAACTTCCTAAAGAAAGATGACAATGCTATTCCTCTGTGCCTGTAGCCTGGAAAGATGTAAGTTAGTGACCCTTTTTGGAGAGAAAACACGTCATTAGAACAGAGAGCTGTGTTTAGACCCACCTACTCCTCTGGCACATCATGACAGCAGACAGGGCAGGGTGTGCAGCTGCCTGTTCTGAGCCACACAGGAACAAACTGAGGGGCTGAGGGGGAGAGAAGGGGACCAGGGGATGGGGGAAAACTGGTGGGGTCAGTGGGAGAGGTGGGAACTAAACGCAGTGAGATGGGAAGAAGTCAGAGAGAATAGGGGCAAAAATAAAGAATGGAAAAATATGTGGGAAAGTGAAGTGGGTTAGTCCTAGAGCACATGAAACAATTTGTGTTGGGATCAAACAGGAAAGGCAGTAAGATGAATTTTCGTTTGGTTTTTGTGTTTTTCTTTTCCAGTTCTCAGTTTTGGGCTAAAATGTTGCTTTTGACTGTTTTCAGGTCTTGATTTTATCTTAAGTTGAAGGGTGTGTGTTTTCTCATGTTGCTGATGAAGGAATAATAAATGCCTGTGCAGGTGACCTGCTATGATACAGAAAACACATTGGAGAAGACAGCATTCAGATCTTTGCTGATATTAAAAAGAAGCATAGGTAAATATAAATGCAATCATGGTCTTATATCTTTCTCCATTTTCTGATTTTCTTTTTATAATGTCAGTTTTCTTCTGGAAAAGTTAATCATATAGAGAGAAGTTTATTATTTAAGCATGGACTTGCAGTGCTATAAGGGGATACATGTAAAAATAAATTTGTAGCTGTAAGTTGGAAGTTGCTGTATCTGTGAAGTTTGTCATTATTTAACCTTCAGGTTTTCAGTATGCCAGCTATGAAAGTGTTGCATCTGGTATTGAGACATTGTATGCATGTGTAAATGTCTATTTCTTTAAAGAAATTTTGTTTCTGAAAGTTAGGTATCCATAGTTGTTTTTTAGTTATGAAGGCAGTTGCCATATGAAAGCATCCAAGTGATCATAATTTGGCATTTAAAAAAGCTCTTCTCTTTCTTCTCCTTCCTGCCAATAATACTGATTCCTGCTACTTAAATCAGTGCTGTCTATGTAAGGGTTATGTTCTATAATTATCAAAAAGAAGGAACTTATGACAGCTAAATCCAGTTTATTTTCTGCTTATACTTTATCTTACCTGTCACATGGTACTTTCAGCTATTTAGGTGTCACTCTTTGGATTTAGTTTTGTTTTGTTTTTTTTTTTTTTTCCCAGAAGAATTGCTCAAGTGCTATGTATTATACATGCTAAATAACCTAATTAAAGTGTTTGTGTGTAGTATGTGAGCTATCGTGAGAATAATCAAGTTTGGAAGATCTTAAATATATAATAAGCAGGTAATAAATTTCAAAAGGGAAAGGAAACAATGCAATATGATGGTCAGATTGAGCTTTTCAGGTCCTTTCAGAGAAGTTTCTTTCTGATGATTTTTTTACATATATATAAATGCAAATACACTGCATTAGATTTTCTGTAAATAAAATTGTGTCATGTCATTTTTATTCTTAGTCTTGACAACTGATATTTGGATTATACTTCCCATTTTTCAAAGAGTTGGCCTTTAAGAAAGGCAAAGAAGTTCTTGTTTCAGGCAGAAACATAAGCTCAGAAGGGACTTCTTGGTTGAGCTTTTTGATGTAGAAAAGTGCAGCTGCCACTGAGAGCTGCTATGATCCTGTTCTTTAAATGAGAAGAGACTGTTCTTGTGCCATCAGCACTCAGCAGTGCAACATATTTGCCATAGCTGTTGTTTTCTATTTAAATACAGAAAATCCAACAGTGTCGGATGTTCTACCAGCAACGGCTGGAATTCTTTCCAAGTTTGGGACCACATAAATTAATAGCTGCTATTGCGGTATGTTTCAGACAAAGTGTGTCACCCATACATCAAAGCCTGCTGTTGAACAGCTGGGATGCAGGTGTAATTGATGTTTGTGTAAGATGATTCCTGTGGTTATATCATAGGTATTAACTATACTTTCTGTTATTGGACTTGTGGAGGTTGTTGATTTTGCCCTAGGTAACAGGTTCTGATGTATGAATGAGGACACATCCGCAACTCCCACTTGAAGTCAGAGAGCTCTGTGTGCTCAACACTTCTGAAATACAGGTGCTTGACACGTAAGCATCTGTCTCAATTGACACTTGGTGGTGCACACTTAGCACTCGCTCTCTAGAGCCAGGAGACCCGCAGCAATCACTGATCAATGAAGGAAAAAGTTGGCTTTTAACTCCTCTGGGCGGCAGTGTCACCTGCCAGTGTGAAGCTGGACACTGGTAAAGCAGCCCTGGGGGGTTCTGCTGGCAGGAGGGTGGGGAAGCAGGCTGTGTGTCCCACCCATGTCACAGCTGTGTCCCTGCAGTGCTGCCCAACTGTTCCTGGCCGGC